CTGTCTTATTCTGTTTTTTAATTGCTCCATTTAGTTCCTCAGGCATACTTGAACATTGTGTGTGCCCTGTAACATGGGGTAATAAAGACATGACTTAATGTTTCAGTGTTGATTTACAGTTCTGATGTAAATTAATTTTCTTTTCAGAGAAAAAAAAGCCTTTTCAATGAAGTATTTCTCAAGAACCAAATGAGCCTGAGTATTTATTGTTATAGTAATGACATGTATAATGTAAAGGTGGAACGGTACTGTTGAAATTAGCCCTATAATTGCCTTCTAATGTGTAGCCTTTGGTCTATGTTGAATATACTATGTTGCTCACTCATCCTTTTTCTCTATTTTCTTTTTTGACTCCTTGAGCACATTGTGGGCTTTGTGACATTGCAGCAGGTTTAATGACCTTCGCTCACAAAGAAACCTCTCTTTTATGGCATTTGAGTCAAACCGAACGTTGCATTACATTCATCAAGTTGCCGGTTGAATGCGATCTATAATATTTGAGTGGGAGAAAGAGAAGGAGGAAACAACACACTTTTCTGGGGGAGAGGGCAGGGGGGCAGGAAAGAAAAAAGAAATACATTATTAATTTTCTCTGTTTATGACCGTATATACACTAACCCTTAACCCTAATTTTTAAATTAACCAAATATTAATTTGTTATTAATGCTTGTTTTATGGATGAGGATTAGGATGACATGGAATATGTTAGAGAATAAATAAAATTCTTAGTTTTGGTAATTGAAGAAACAAGAAAAGAGAGCCAGAATTGTGTTATCAAAGCTTTAACTATTTTTGTTGTTTTTGGACTTTTCAGGATACATCAGTCCTGACTTTTTAATTAAAATACAGACTTTTTGATTAAAAGTTTTTGTAGTAAGTAAGTTTTTGTAAACCTGCAGAAAGACCAAACCATTCTTAACTTCTTTACACCCTGGTCCATAGTGTTGAGCATTGATGGCTGTATATCCAAGAGTCAAAACTATTATAATACCTACATTACGTTGGATTTTTTCTTTTCTTTTTTTTTTTTTTAAAGATGTAAAAACATATTCTCATTGAGAATGATAAAAAATCAGTGAGTTTTAGTGTGGAACAAACAAAAATATTTTGAAGGTTCTCACTATGGGAACATCTACCCAAAGTTGCCCTTCAACTCATTTTCTTCTTTTTGTCAGTTTTAGTGCAGCTTTGACTTGCATTACCACTTGCCGCTAGATCTACTTTTCACATCCCCACTGAGAAATATTCATATCTTTGTAAAACAAAGGGAAAGGAAAAGTACTGGCAGCAGTACTTTTCCAAACAATAAGTTTCCAAACAATTCTTTTTCCGACAAACTTTCTGATAAAATTTCTGAACTTTTTTCCCAAACATTTTTCCAACACAAGTTTCCAAATTTTTTTGGAACCTTTTTCTGTCACAGTTTATAAACTTTTTCCGAATAGCTTTCCGATAAAATCTATGAACTCTTTTTCTGACTTTTTGAGGAAACACTTTGTATAGTGTGTTGCTTAAGATCTTAAAACAAGGCTTAAATCCTAAGCACGCACAATATTGAAGTTTAATTCTTCATTCGTAATTTTTCAAATCTTGTACTTGTATAAGATGTATGTGACACAGACTGTGAAACTCTTGGATTCAATCCCCAAACCACAAAAACACAGTTAAAATAAATGTGTAAAAAGAATGGTAATTATAATGAAAAATTATTATAAAAAATGTAATTGTATTTTTATCAAATTATTTTTGAGATGCTGATTTTACTTTTTTAACAGTAATTTTTTGGCATCCCAGCTGACAAAATATTACATTTATTTAGTTGTTGCACCTGCAAATAGCGTGCTGACAAAGTAGAAATATTAAAGTCACATTTAGATAAAAATAAATAATCTTAAAAACTGAGTTGTCTACAGCAGCTGAACAATGTGAGCGTCTGCTTCGTTGGAGGCAGATCAAAAAACATGATATCATATATTGTCAGGTGAATATTATTTTCCTGGCCCTGCTTCACATATTTGCTGCTTACGAGAAAATTGGATACCTTTTTCTGTCAGAAGCGCCCCATTCAAATGTAAATAGACCACTGACAAGTCATTCCCCTGCAAATGCACGGATAATTGGAAACATTTTTCCTTTACTTCTGCAACAATACATTCGTTGATACACAATACATTTTACTCAAATAACTTTACAGAATAATAGTCCTCGGAATGTTTTTTCCTCACCAGAATACTTGTTTACATCGTCATACTGGTGTGATGAATAGCGAGTCTGTTGGTATGCAGATTATTTTTATTCCGATAAAAATGAAAAACGCTCTTCGTTTTAGTGTAAATCTGAGCTGTTCCAAGTCAATAATTAATAACAGACCTGTGCTGTTGTCTGCAGGAGCCGAACTAATGATGTGAGAGTGAGTGAATAGTGACAGGTCCTCAACCTCAGCTCCTCTGCTTCATTACATAACAATACAGGAGGAAAACAATGCTGAGCTTTGACAAAAGAGGAAAAAAAACACCACCCAACTCTTTCATTTCCTGTTTTATTTGACACTCCGTGAGTAATGCGCATACGAACCAGAAATGTACTGCTTGTACAGCCATCCAGTCAGTCCCATCTCTCTAACCATTATTGTGTTTAGGGGTTTGACAAATAGCCCTCACTGCTGGGCAGATTGGAGGAGTGTTTGATGGCACTTTGAGCGGTACTACAAAATGTGTGTGTAAAATGTGTTACAGTAAGTACCTGAAATTGGAGTGCAGGTAGAAAGTAGACCTGGGGAGCTGATGAGACATCAAGATCATGAAGCAGTTTGAAAAGTGAATATATGAACATGTTGAAGGGAGAGAGCAGAACAGCGGGAGATTTACAACTGGTCATATTTAACAAAAACTGCACAGTAAAAAAAATGGCTGAGACAATTTTATGGTAGAGTACAGTACAGTACAGTAATACCATGAGATACGAGTGTCCCGACATACGAGTATTCATAGATACGAGCAAGTATTCGAAGTATTCAAAATCTTTGAGATCTGAATAAAGATTTGAGATACGAGCACGCTCACAGACGCCGACGCTAGGTGGCCGAGCACTCGGAGCAGCCCACGCCACCTCACTTGTTCACTTCACGTGTTCGTTGACTTCCGTACACATCTCCCACGAGTCTTCCGTATTGTGTTTGCGTTAGCTACGTGATTTTCTCTCTACTTTGTGCATTATTTTTTCATAATAGTAATGAGTCCTAAGAGAGTGAGTGTTAAGGATCGTAGATAGAAGAAGAAACACATGATGGCCATGGAAATAAAGCATGAAATTGTCGATAAATATGAGCGTGGTGGCCACTAAAGAAAGAATAAAAAATTGAAAAAAGCAAAAAATAGAAAAGTAAAAAAAATAAATAAATAAAATACGTATAAGGTACGGTATGGAATGAACCCTCCCTTCTCCTCCTCCGCACATGCCTCCATTAGCTGCACATTTTATTTTATATCACAGGAATCCTTATAATAATAATAATAATTATAAATTTTATTTAAAAAGCGCCTTTAAGGACATTCAAGGACACTTTACATCAAATAATAAAACAGATAATAATTTAAAACAGGGCATAGAAA